CCACCCACGCCGAGGACTTAATTCGCTCGATCGGACGTGCTGATTTAATCGCAAACACTCGGACGGGGAGAGAAATGTGAGTTTCTTTTTTCTTTTCTTAGGGAGACAATGGCCGATCCGCCGGTGTCTTAATTAGTAACTCGAGATCCTCGGCCCTCCGTGGATCAGGACGATCCAATCCTTCCTCTTCGTTCACTTCAATGTCCTACATCTTTATTTCCCGGGTAGTTGACGTGTACATCATCGTTATTATATTTTCTTCCAATCACGAAAATCTTTCATGACCTCAAAAATAAGACCTTGAACATAGAATCTTTGCCATTGTGATTTTTATAAAAAAACAAAAAACATACTTTTCCTTTTAATATATCATTATCGAGTATATAAATGTGAATATATAAAAGTAATTATTTTTAATCAATATTCTAAGGTAATTGCATGAGATATTTATGTCCAGGTGAGGTGCTCATAGACTTTTATGAAAAGTAACTTTTATGATGTAAATTTTAAAATAATTATATAAACACGAATGAAGAAAGCCTAATTAAAAAATTTCTCACGATCCCAATAAGGTTTAATTGCAATTTCAAATTACCGTTATTTACGTTTCAACTTAAAAACAGGACGCGTAAGGATAATTAAAATGATCCTCGAATTCGTCTAATAAATTGTCTTCGGGACGGACAAATATTCGCCTGGTGAGAATAAAATCGGCGCCTATGAACGTATCCGTGTATCCGTCTTCTCCGTTTCGTCTCTCAGTACCGACCGCATCGCTGAGCTTTGTCTTGTAAACGAAGCCACGCTGATTCGTATCCGGACGTTGATAAATTCCCCCGCAGAGTTTAGCAGTTCTCCGCTTATCCTTCCTTTCCATTCAGAACAGAAGGACGAATGGTCCTGGCACTGCGCATCCTCCTTCGACCGTCTCGAACAAGAGAGGGAACGAGAAAGAGGTCTTCGTGGGAAACCGCTCGAACGATCCTTCGTTCGCTGATCTTCATTCACAAAAACCTCTCTTTCTCTATTTTTCTTCACTGTCGTTAAAGACTTACGCGCGCTGTCCTGTGTTTATTATTAACCCATCGAGTTCTATCCCACCGTACGGTAGCCCCGCGGTACATTCTTTTTGTTTCACAGGTAGAACGGGTTAATTGGTGAGGCGAACTTTCGAATCGACAGGATTTATGTTCGTGTGGACAGATATCCTGAGATGATTCAAGTGTACACTCGCGATCAAATCCAGCTTACCTAGAGAAAATGGCGATATAAGAGAAGCAGAAATTCTTAATTTTGTAAAATTTTTATTTTTATAAAAATTAATTTCTTCCCAAGAATTTATTGAAATCTGATGAGAATAGATAAATTTACAATCTTAATTTTTAGGATGTTAATTGTTTTCTTAACATGTTCTCGATCAACTCTGATTTAACTTTTATTGATAGTATGAAATGTCACACCTGAAGTAGAGTTCTAGAGAAAACTAATTTTGTTACGCCAAAAATGGCTTCATGGTGCAAAGGGTTAAAAATAAGTTAGAAAAAAATATCATAATTTTTTGTTACTAAATAATATAAAATTTAGTATATCTCTGAAAGGTAGGTATTCAAATGTTTTTGCATAAACGTTTATACGCAAATGATGGGACCAGACTTTTATATACATACATATATGGATCTTGTTTCCTACATTGTCATTCTCCCAGAGGATGTCTATGGGGAAGAATGAGAACTCTGAATCATCACCATTTTTTCTTGGGAAGCCTGATTTAATCACGACTGTATTGTTGCGTTAGAACACACTTCTGAATGAAGTAATTCTATAGAAAAGACAAGTAACAATACTATTTACACTTTTTAGATTACTATCATCTGAGTTAGTACAATTAAATGTATATTTATAACAGCAGATAATAAGTGTGTTAGACACGTAGAATAATAAAAAGGGGTGTATAATTATACATATATAAAGGCAATAATTATAATAAGAATGAAGAATGAGATCAAATATTTATTGCAAGCTTACTATTTACAGACTTCAAGATCATGCTTTTAATAAGCAGTTTTCGTTAAAATTGCCATAAACGAGGTTTAACGTAGTTTCGCGACTGTATCAATTAATAAATCCTTGATCATCGAAAGATGACATATAAGTTGATCGTTCAATTATCGTCTTCTTATTTTTAATTACTTAGCCTTGTCAAGGGCTTTGTTACTTTTATCCTTCCTTATAGGGACTGTTTCATTAATTAACCTATCAACTTTTAATTGACCAGCTGAGTAATTAAAAAATAACAAAGGGGAGGAGTATGTTCTAGATGAAATTGAGATGATAATCTGTATCTCTATTAATGTTGTTTAGCTTTCTCATTATTTCTATAAATTTCCATATTGAAAATATCAATTATTTATATCTGGTTCAATTTTAAAGCCACGTCATTAATAAAATGTGTTTGTGAGTCAACCGCCTTAAAGTAAAGGTACGAATAAAATCCGTGTACCTACATTTGTGAACTTTCCAAAGCGCTTAATATTTTATGATTTGCAAGTAAAAAGCACGTCGTCACTTCACTTGTTCCTGGCCCGATTACACAACATGCCCTGCGCGAGAACTTGTTTCTGAAATTACAGGACGTGTGTGCTCGAAAAGTCACGCTCGATGTCACGGTGCAATGCGCCAACCATTCCCGTACGGTTGTAACTTATTCAAAGCCCTTTCCGTAATTTATTAACAAACGCGTCACATTAAAAACGTCATTTCTCCGTTGAAACTTAATACGTACCAGATTTCGAATTAATCGCGACTAATAAATTGATTCCCGATAAATGCGTATGAATTCGCTGAAAAATAAGAGCAGCCCATAAATTGACGGTTTCTACATATTCATGAGCTATAATAATGCAGTTAAATCTGTTATAAGCCGCGAATTAATTACTATGAGAATAATTAAGTAATGTTGTCGAGAGTTATTTAAGGTTTATGTATTATTAATTGGTAGTTACAGAACCGAGCGAAGTGTCTATAGAATGGCTCAAGATGTTCTTCCTCCTGATATTAAAAAGGATCTTAATAAGAAATATCGGATCACGAATGGTAATTTATGTAAGGATGTTAAAAGTTGGAAAATTAAATGAAATGTATATATTTAATACTTATGTAACGTCTCTATTACGATATTAATTTAACATGAGGTACTTTTCATACTGTAATAAATATGTTACCTGCAGAATTTATCTTACGTATTAAATATTCAGTTAGTCTGTTGCTGCTGATTAGTAACACATCATCTTCTGTTAAATTAACAGTAATACATTATATATCAGTATTTCGTACAAAGTTGATTTACATAAGCATGCAATGTGACTACTAAATCGTCTGTCTTCGAGAGTCAGCTGTGGTTTTGGTTTGCTGGTTAAAGAAGTCACAAGTTTGTCTTTGACAGCTCTAATTGGTATCCAAAATTATCAAGGAAACGAGAAAGGGTGATTTGTGGTTAGCGGTTAGGTTATTTACAAGCTGCGTGTCAGTCACGCGATCTGCTCCTTAATTCCAAAAATCTGATAGGTTTGGTCCCGAAACCGCAATTTGATTACTGAATTTATCAATGCCACCTCATGCAAATATTAAATCATGTAATCATCTGTTTCTACAAATTTTACCATCTTTTATATCACTTTTGAAATAAATTTGTTAGATTAATCGAAAATTAAATTCTTAAGTTCGTTATTTCAACATTGAAGAGTTAAAACGAAGGTGTAATAAAAATTCAAATTCACAACACTCCAATTATCTCATGAATTATACTCTTTGATAATTACAAGCACAATCGTTCACTCAGACCAACTGTCTGAAATTAGTATTATTACACAGCGATTTGCATGTTAACGAAGAACAATTTAAATTTAAAATAAACCAGCAACATTTCACGGGGAACAGTAAGTACCCAGGGGTCCCGTTAAAACCGTATGTATCAAGGACGCGTGTATCAACGCGCATAATTTCGCGTTTCACGCAAGAGTTCATGTTAGTGTCGCTACGTACGTTACAAATGAAATAATATGTTCATGTACGTAAATGGCGGGCTAAAATATTTATGAATTACATTTCGTTGTGGGTGCTTCAGCCCGTCCCATATCTTAAGGGTACTCCATATTTCAAGGTGCGTGAAAAGGACACCTGCGAATTTGCATGGAGCACAAGGATACGCAGACCAATAGTGTCGCGTTGTATAAGAAGTAATGGGGTTACTGGTTGTATGGAAAGAAATTATTTGGAAGTTCGTACAGGGCGCAGTGTGACATATGGTTATAACTTCAGTGGTCGATTCAGCACACATAAATAAAAAAAGAAAATTTATATAAACGTTTGTTCTATCTTGAAAATCTGATAAGACAATTATGCTAAAAAATGTTCATATTGTAAATAAAATTTTATGAATAGAATTATTTCATTTAATAGTCACACATATGAAAATTCAACGGATTTGAATTCGAAGATCATGGTGGTCAGCTGATTGGCCCCCCGCGACTAATCCGTTTAGAATTCAGGATGCACGGCTTCGAATGGAATGTCTTCCAATAATTCATCGAAATTTTCGTATAAAAAGTTAATATACGACTCGCTAGTTAAGACGTTGAATGCGATGAGGTCATGGGTGACCGACACCGCTAATTCATTATAGGGGGAAATAAGTGATACGTCCCATTTTTTAATCAGTTAAATAAATAATTACTTTATATTATTCTTCATTAGGATTTACAATTTTTTGATATATAAGTAAGTTTACTTTTGAATAAATAAAAAAAAATAGAATACTTTTGCAAGGAATATAAAATTTAGAGTATTGGGGTGAGTAGAGAATTCCTTCCTGTACATCACTATTTCCCCTAGGAAAGTCTACTTGACTTGATTTCCTACTCACTTTTTATAAAAATATGTATTTGTTTATGTATCACCAATATAAATATACGTAAGAAATATCATTCATTTTGCTGAAACAGGTAGTAACTGTTCAGGCTCGTTAAACTGACCAGATCTTCAACATGGAAACCACATCGAAAGACGTTCCTCTATCTTCAGCTGCGATGCACACAGCTACCCTACCGGTACATCTATACGAGTCATTCGAATGACCATAATAAATATTTCGAATCGACTAATCAACGGCTTGGTGCAGAGTTCGGATAAAAGATACCGTTCTAATTGGGCAGTATCTGGGAGCATTACATCCGTTAAACGGATCACACTCGGGAATGTTTTATTCGTTGACTGGCTGTGATTACCGTCGATAGCCAGGAGGGCCAGATGTTCGAGCGGCGATGACGGGGTAAGATTCTCAATCAATTTTTGTTACGTTTCAACTGCCGTCGCGTGGCACATTTCGTCATTCCGGCTTCTTCTTTCTTCGAGCAACCCTTTCCGCCCTCCTCCCACGACACCCCTTTCCTACGCCTATCTTTATCCACCTATCTTCATTTCCTTTTGTAACATACACACATTTCGCCTGTTTCTTTTCTTCCCATTTCATTTTATTTTTTTTTTTTCTTCTCTCCCTTTCGCGATCCTTATCCCCGTATCTTTCGGTGGGCTTTTTTCGAGGATGAACGAGTAGACGTGGAAACGAGATGGACAATCGTACAGCTGTTCGCTCGCGGGGGCGCATCTGCCTCCTGTCCGGCTCGCGTGCAGTTCGAGAGAAAAAAAGGAAGCAACGTTGGTGCGTAGATTTACCGACCTCTTTAGCCGACCACAGCATTTTGGCATATTAGCGGGTGGCTCGAGAGGATCGTCCACCCTCGGTCCTACCTTCGCCAACAAATGTTGCCCCGATACTGTTGCTCGTCGATAGAACCTGGCAGTTGGCAAAGACACGTTCCTGGACTTCGCCTGTAAAACTACTGGAGTGATAGTTGTTATATCTACATCTGATACGAACAGCCTTGTAACTGGTTTATCCTAGGTTTACAGCAGAGAGATTTACAATTTTTTGATTTTATTTTTAACATCTGCCATTTGTCTCTGTTAGTATAGCAGGAATTTAAGTATAGGCTTTTTTCTTATTTTTGTTAGTATCTTTAAAGGGTTCGTATTTTCTGTAATTCAAAATATAACGTTCTCAAGACCAAATGTCAGGTAATGTAGAGTTACAATGTTCCATTTTTGATAGTTAAAAATAGTTCCAATTGTAACAAAGGGATGATTCCTAGACAGGAAAGAAGGTTATAATTGCAAAACACCATAACAAAGATTACAACAAATTTCTATTAATAAGTAGAACTTGCAACATATTGACTATAAACAGGAATTAGATGATAACATCTATTAACTCTTACTAGTTACGTATTCCTTAGTACCTATCCTGTAAGTACCTATCGTAAAAGTCAACTCGGACTCACAATCAGTGAAGAAGCAATCAGAAACACGTAAGTTTATCAACGGGTTCTTTCGAATGCTCACTAGACTTTAATTTCGTAATTTCTCCATCAAACGACATATCACCAGCCTGACATTTACTGCGAGAATAAATCTAACGGTTAACATAATCGCAGAGAAAGTTATACTAATCTGAAATCGGTTAGAACTCGTAGAAGATTGGTTAGAAGGAAAGAAATCGACACTTCTCGTTAGAAAAGTTTATTTCAGTTTAGATACCATATATTAAAAGTGCGATCATATCAGGTTTTCTACGCTTTAAAATTTATTATTTAATATGCAATAATTTCAATTTTAAATTATGGTACACCCTTTCACTGACATAGACGTCCAATGCAAAGGGTTTACATTTAAAAATAAACTTTTTTTTATAATAATTAGAAATAAAAATTTCTTATTACAAATAAAATTTTGTAAACGAAATTATTTTATTTTTAATCGGATATTGAATTAGTCAATTTAATATAAAAATGTACGAGTACGGTTTTTTGGCAGAGACTATCATAATGAAGGGGTTAAAAAATAATGTCTTAAATTTCAATCTCTATAGTAAAGTTTTAATATAACGTATTGTAAAAATCAGCAAACGCATTTATAACTGTAAAACAAGGGAAAAGATTTTCACGTTTCAATTTCCACTCCAGATGGGCTACTAGAAATCTGATCCTTTTTCTCGAATTGCACAGCTACGAAAATATTCGTCGAGTGTTACGTAACCCATTCATAGGAAGGGTTGCTTTCATCAAGAAAAACAAGATTCCTTCGCGGAACACAGCACGTGCTCAAGTGGATACTACCCTTCTTTCATAACTCTTTCACCCTCTTCAGGTGACCGCCAGCATCTGTACACTTTTTTAAATGCATGCTGAATAATTGAAAGAAATGTATAATTCATTAGTTGCTGTCACGACAGCGAAATTCAGCTTCAATACTAACGTAAAGTAGAAGAAAATAATTCTAAATTGAAAAGTCAAAATACCAATGTTAAATAAAACATTGAAAATTAAAAGTATTAAATTATTTCCAAAGATCCTTCATTAGGTATCGAATGATATATGAATCTTCCCACGACTTTTAACTTTATTATCAAAACACTTAAAGGTGTTTAGGAAATATTCCAGTTCAGGAATTTTCCACTGGAATAGTATCCATTAAAACGTTTGACGAGAAATACCACACAGAAGAAGAAAATTGTACAGGCGATCTCGAATAGTTGAACACGAATGATAGCGGCAAAACCTTTTCCTCTATCGTTCTAATTACCAGATAATTGTATTAATGGATCGGATAGTCGGCTACTACAAAGACTGACCAGAAAGTGAAGTGTCTACTTCGGCGGGATCGTTCGATTAGGGGGGTGGAGTTCTGTTCGACCATTCTAAAAGCAACCGACTACCTCATTTTTCTGTCTCCCGCTCCTCCACAGTTAGGAAAATTCATTCTTTCTTTCTGCCACTGAAGAAGCTCTACCATTTCTTCTAATCGATAAATCAGATCTAACCGATCACTTTATTTCGATAAGTACCAGAAGAGTTGATATCAAGATTGAAATTAATAAGTGATATTCTAATAAAAATTAATATTTTTACAAAATTGCAAAGACAATGATCGGCATAAAAAAATAAATGTTGATATTTTAAAAAATCGATTCTTTTCTATCGTATCTTTAAATTTCCACAAATGTTACAAATTTAAAAACTGTTGCCTCCGTAATTAAAAAAATTTTAAGTCTTTTAATAATCTACCATTGTTGTTAAAATTGAGGCTCTCTCCATGGTCCGCCATCCGAAGATTAAAATGTATTCACTCTATTTGCACTTCGTTTCAGAAAGGACATGCATTCTGTTTAATCCTCGGAGAACTAGTTTAAATCCTCGTTAATGAGGAACGCTTGATCCTTTGAGGTACACTAAATATTCCCAACGGGAAATCCATGTCTGATGACTTGTTCATGAAAGTTCGTTTAGTAGCTTAGAAAACGGTTGCTAGTACGTGTACGCAGTGAAGCGGGTACAAAGTAGGTATATATGAACAGACAACCCATTTCGTCCTAAATAAATCGGACGACTTTTAGTCGGGACAAATATTGTCGCATCAATTAAAGTGTCCATGGATGTAAAAGTTTCCTGGGATGTGTTCGGATGAAACATGGCGCCATGTCCTCGAGACGGTAATTTCGTTTTTCCTCTGTTGTTCCTCAACCCCCCATTGATTGTTTAACTTCTTCCAGGAAGGAAGTGAACTTAAGTCAAGTACAAATATTTACTATTGATTTTATTTTATTTCCGTTCGATGGAAATTATTTGGACGATTCAGACGTCATCATTTTTAGATATCCTGTACAAATTAATTAGGTGCTTTTTTTAAATTAAAGATTAAACTCACCGTCATTTATTTCTATGGGTAATTTTCTAAAGCACCAGTCTGAAAATGAAAGTACACCTACTTCCGATAGGTGCGACATTCTCATGGACTTCAAAAGGGTGCTCGATGGTTCCGCGGAGCATCCAAGAGGAAAAGCGTAAAGTAGATGAGAGGAGGAGAAGAAAGAAGTAGCAATCCATACTGTCGCGACTGCTGGAGAGACCATTAAGCCAACAGGAGTGTCCTTTCCGTCGGAAGTCCTGGAAAGTGGACACTTGGGGTGTGTACATACGTGCAGGACGCGGAACAGGATGGGACAAACAAGGTGGTTTCACGATGAAATCCGAAGCGCATTACGAGACGAGAAACAGATTTCGACATTTTGGGAAGGAGACACCTCGCATTTCCTTATTCGAGAGTAGATAAGAAATGTTCAATCTGAAGTTAGACTTCATCAAGATTTGTATAACAGAAATGTTACTTCAAAATTTTATGAGTATTTATAATACAAAATATTAGATTTCTTGTTAAAATTAACACTGTATAACACATCGTTGTTAATTGGCAAATATTCAATTCATATTTCTTCTTCATAACTTTTACTCCGGTTATTACCGAAAATTTATTTAACAAAAGGAATAGAATTCAAAATCAAAAAAATTGAAATTTAACATAGGTGATAGTGGTGCAGCTGTACAGGAATCTTTATCTAGCTGAACAAAATAAATCAAGAGGCGGAAGACGGAAGGAGGAGCAGAGAAACTTCGAGTGTCGTAAAAATCTATCAACAAGACATTTACTCTCAAGTCGCCGCTTTGACTTTCTGAAAATCTTCAAAGGATACCGCTGTAGAGTCATTTTCACGTTCTCGTGTTGAAAATGTAAGAACGATGCTGAGATAGAGATCTGAAGAACATTCATTTTTATTTCTGCCTCACATTTCTTACTAAACATTACTTCAGTTTAAAGTAACTAAAATGGCGATACCCCCACCCCCGTAGTTATCACTTTCCCAAAATTTCTGCCACTTTCGATAAGTGACCCCGGGGAGAATAACGATGCAAGGGAGGGGGTCCCATATACATATATAGCTCTATACCTCCCCACCACTTGTGTATGAACATTTACGCAGGAGAATTTGAATTATATTATTTTATTTCTACATCACTTTTAATATTAATATCTACAAAATTAAAATTTTGAAAATTTCAACTTTCTCTATATCGCCATTTTCGTTAAGGAAACCTACTTTGCTTGATACTGTACATAACTCAAAATATTATTCTACATTACATATTATCTTCTCCATAGCTGTTTAAGGGTCAATAAGAACAATAAAATGATGAACTCGATTAGCAGTAAGTATACCAACTACGTTATTATGATTCCAGTTATCGAAGGTAATCATCTGATACGTTTATGCAGTTAGGATGTAAATGATACCTGAAGATTGCTCTTTCACCGAAAAGTCAGGGCGCGAAGGGCGTATCAGGGTTGTCATAAAGAGTCGTTCAGCGCGAAGGGGTGTATATCGTTCGCGCGCTTTAAACGTCATGGAAATCGTCGTAAACACGCCCGCTGCGGGCCTGGCTCATTTACAAACTTTCAATTCGGTCAGCTTGAATTTCAAAAGTTATCGACCTAACCCCGAAGGGCCCCGCAACGTCCATAGATTATCGCGTTCTTTTTTCCAATGTGTCCCGAAGGCTCCAACGAGCCGGTTCAACGAATAAAACCGTCGAACGGAAGAGGACAGCGGTATACGGTTGAATCGAAGATAGAAGAAGAAAATACGATGAGGGGATGAGTTTGACCAAGCCACGCGACTCTCTTCTTCTGTGGCGGTGCTCGTAAATCCAGCGGTGGCTTTGTAGACTACTACTACTACTTTACTCGTTGCTCGGCCTCGGGGTTGAATTTAGAGATCACGATACCTTGGAAAGCCGCTATTACCGGTGGATCCTCAAAATTCAAGCATTGCCGGCTCCTACGGGGAGATTTTAGAAGATTCCATACTTCAGATATACATACTTAGCCCCCCCCCCCCCATCCGGCGAACGACAATCGGTAATTGCGATCTGGAATCTACTACTTTGGATAATGACTTCACTGGGCTCTCTAGTACGGCTTCACTTTTGAAAGATATATATGCTGATTTATAATGAGGCTCTTAGTCTGAAAAAATATTTTTTGAAATTGAAGGAACAATTTAATTTGACTATGAACATCTATTAGGTATACAAATTAATTCTATGCCTACTATTTTTTTTTTTTAAATTAAAGATTTATCTTTAAAAGTCATGGTAACTTCAATTATTGAAGTATTTCTATTGTTATCATATTCTCGTACTACTTTTCAAATACACAGAAGCCCAGGAAAATTACACAAAAGTGTTAAATTTTTAAACAAAAATTTAAAACAATTGAAACTTTGATACTCGTTTCTTGTAAATTAAAATTATTTCTCACACTCGCTGTTAATTCGCGTAACGAAATTTATAAACGTCAAAAATTGTCGACCAGTTGAAGAAAACTGGTCGAACCTCTGGCGTACAACTTTTTTAACACTTTTCGTCGGAGAAAAAGTGTCCCTTCGGCTGACAAAGCACCCTCTAGGCTGCGTCCCAAATTTAGGGCTCGATCATTTAAGCCTGGATGATAGACGATAGGACTGGAGACTTACGCCCCGAGAAGTGTCCCATAAACCATCAAACGAATCAGTGACGGTGAGTTGGTTGGCACGACGGTAACGGTTTTACCTGCGCACCAGTTTCCAGGGGCCTGACCTAGCCCGCTCGTCGATCACGGATATTTGGGCCAGGACTCCTTTTCGACGCGATATCATTCAACGACTTTCCTACCTGCATCCCTGCTACTCCTGTTTTCTTTTTCCTTAAGTGGGGATGAGAAAAACTCGATCTAGATATAACGGGTGCCGCAGAATTTTGTGCTATCAATCTGAGTATTTCAAAATGATTCTTGAACCACATTTATGAAATCCATAAAAATTGAATCAAATTGAATTTTTTAAAAAATTCTCTCAAAATAGACTGCAAATGACATATATTTATACAAATAATATATGTCAAAATATGCAAAAAGTGTACAGGAAATAATTGTAATAAATTGTTGTATTTAGTTGGAAAGTTATCAACTATAAATTGATAATAAAAAAATTTCAGCAATGTTTGATATAATATTAAAATTTGGATTTCTGTATAAAACTGTTTGAAACTCTGTTGAAGTCTTTCTTACATAATTATTAATTTTATTGATTGGATCTACTGCATCAATTATTATAGTAGTAACCATACTGGTTCCGTAAGTAACATTATCACTATACTTATGAATGTTACTTTTTGTTGAAGAGTTTTTTTAGAAAATAGATTATATTCAGTACAAAATGAAAAACCTGTAATATTTTGTACAATGCTCCACTGGTTTTTAGATAATTAATTTTTATTGATGAAATATTTATTAATTATATAGGACGTTAGAGAAAATCACCCCTTATATGAAGCTCTAGATGGGCGCGTCTAACCCACGTTTCAAAGATCTTTTTAAGTTGGTCTTCCACTGGTTTTCCTATGCTAACAGCGAAACGAAACGTGGAGAAGGAAAAAAAGGAAAGAAAAGGTCGGTCTCTCTTGTCGTCCCAAAATTATTTCGAAGTTAGAATCAAGGCTTAATGCCATTTCGGCTGAGGCTACCGCGTACCGCGAACAATACATCACACAATGATCCCCCTTTTTCGACCTGAATTTCATCCCTTGACGAGTTTCCGCCACCAAGTGTCTACCTGTGAACTTGAAATTCGGAGTTCTGCCTCGTTGAAACGAAAAGGATAGCAAGAAGGTAGAAAAGAAAAAATCATGACCCTGTTTTCGATCACGGAATACGTAATTAGAGCGCCCGATAAGATATTTATTTATTTAAATTAACGGGAGGTTGTTTGATGCATACAAGGAACGCGTTGGTAAACCGACGTAAAAGGAGAAGAAATTTTCGTTTCATGATGTTTAATAGTGTGAAAATTTGGTTTACGTTTATAACACAATTTATATGTAAATTGGTCTTGGCAGAAATTATGAATATTTAAAAAGAATTAAGCAATAATATTTTAAAAGAATTAATTTTGTACATAATTTTAGAACAGTATTTTTATGGTAATTAAATTTGATTGGGATACATTTTACACGTGTATTTTTAAACAAAAGGGTATTAACTTTCGCACGTATACTACAGTACAAAAAGGAGATTTTTTTTCAAAAGCATCTCGATAAATCGCTGTCTGCTTATTTCGCGTTTCATTCCACAACTCGTTCCCGATATAATACATACACGCAATGGTCCACAAAAAACCCGTGCGAGATGGAATAAGCAACTCTGTTTGAATCGAAAAATCTCACAGTGCTATTATTCAACGAGGCCGCGAAGAGTGTTCGGTGAAATTAATGATGAACAAATTACACGGCGAATTTCGAAGCATCGAAACTCGGCTCGAAGACACGCTTCTTCTTCAGGATCCTCTTTGGGAACCCTCCAGTATGCAAATGCCTGCAACGTAGTTCCGCTTGGCTTTCGTGGAAATAAATGATGAATAAAAAAACTGATTACCGTATAATTATGCGTCGTGCCGTCGGAACCATCCCTCTAAGAATTTTTTCTTTCGTCGTTGACGTCCTTTTTAAAAGAGGGGTGAACAAATAATCGTTGAAGGGGAAATTCGGATCAAACTGGAGAACCGTTATGGAAAACATTACGGCGTTATCTCTATGGTTTCTCATTTAAAAATAAATAATACTAAAATTAAGGATGCAGTACGTGTTTCATTTGTAGTATCTTTAAAGATACTTAAATGTCAAAAGCAGAAAACCAGAAATCACCAAACTTATCTATCATCATTCCAAGAAAAACGCCTTTCCGGCGATTAGGGGATCAAAAAGTGTCAGGAAGAAAGTCGAGGAAAGTTTCATTTTCCCGTCAAGATTTTCAACGTAATTACCACCGAGTTATACGAGATGCGCTCGTATTTTAGGCTGCGTAAAAATTCGAGAAAAAGAAAAAACGGAGCTTCAAAGTGGTCGGTAGGCTTTGAGGTTTCCTCCAGAGACTCGAAATTCTTCACTTGTCCTACATCCGGAATTTTAAGATTACCAAAGATTTATTTAAGTGCATCGATACGATTTCGCCGTTCAATTATGGGAACAGCATGACCGATGCTCTAAAGAATTGTTGATAAAATTTTTAAGAGTTTTAATGTTTTCCATTCTGTCGATGTTTCTACCGTCTGAAAGACGCCATTCGATCGCGTTTTGGGAACGAAAGTCGACCTCGATTTTGTGCGATCCTCGAAGAAACCACTGTGCAAACCGAAGTGGACGTCGAGGACCGGGCACGCCTTCCAGAAACT